GCAATCTAACCATCCATCCATTGTCTAAACACTCATCCTAGTCAGGCTCACAGTTGACCTGAAGAAATTCAATACAGGAAATCTAGGAGCAGATGAAGCAGAATTATAAGCATTTGAATAAATTTAGATGTTGCTTTGTCGGACATTCTGGCATAAAACCCCAGTGAACTTTATCCCTCCATCCAGCTTTTAGCTACTTATCCTGGCTAGGGTCCTGCAGCCTCAGTTATAGAAGTTGCACAAAAAGAAGTCTGAAATGTGTGCAAACAACTTCCCACGCGAAAGAAGAGCATACACACTACACACCTAGAATGGAGAGGGGACTCAAACCCCTAATGCTGTAGGTGTGAGGCAATGGTGTTACTCACAGAACCAGCAGGGGCCAAATAGTTACTATTTAAGTATTATTTCAGTTGGATAGATTACTTTTTTTACTTTTTTTTTTATTTATTACCAGTGAATGTAAATTGAACTAAGGCAACATGGTGGCCATTTTGTGGGTTTTCCCATAGTGCAAAGATAAGCAGTTAGGCTAAATGCCTGTAGAGTATGGATGTGCATCGTGCCAGTTAGGCTAATTGCCCATAGAGTATGGATGTGCATGATGATAGTTAGTTTAATTGCCCATAGAGTATGGATGTGCATTGTGCCAGTTAGGCTAATTGCCTGTAGAGTATGGATGTGCATGGTGCCAGTGATGGACGGCCATTACGGTTGTGCCCAGCTTTGTGATCAATGCTAACAGGAGAGGTAGTTAGAGATGGACGAAGGGATAAATGGAACCAGAAAAGGGTCAATTTTCTAACAAAATGGGTCCCTTAAAACTAACTGTTTTGAGGGACCCGGTTTGTGAGTCTCACTTTTTCCACATCCATTCCATGAGAATTTTTCCCCCAGTCCATAGGTGCCAGAGTGTTTTCTCCCTCTCTTTGCATGCGTAGGGCATCCACATAGTAAACGCCCCAGGACCACACCCTGCATGAGTAACTGCCCCAGGACCACACCCTGCATGAGTAACTGCCCCAGGATCATACCCTGCATGAGTAACTGCCCCAGGACCACACCCTGCATGAGTAACTGCCCCAGGATCATACCCTGCATGAGTAACTGCCCCAGGACCACACCCTGCATGAGTAACTGCCATACTGGCGGTGCAGCATCTCATAGGGACTTTGGCTACAGTAACAGCAAGTGAAGACAGGGAGCCCCACACTGATGATTGATACACGTGGGCCTCTTAGGCTGTCCACGGATTTCATGGTAGCTAGAGGCTCAGTCGGAGGGAACAGAGGAGTCTTTGTGCATGAACATTTGAAGGTCTGGAAGAGCATAACTGAGAATGATGTGTCTTGTGATTCAGATAATAATACCCAGCCCACGGGAAGCAGGCGGCAAGCAGAAGGACTTGGGCATCCATGTTCCGGTGAGCTGACGGCGCTCACAGTACGTCTGTGTTTGCTTCCCACTCTGAGACAGGAAGGCTGCACAGGGATTCCCCTCCCAGGGCAATCAAGCCCTCTGGGAGACGGTCCTGCATGGGACAGCCACTGAATTTATCATCCTGTCACTGCTGAGAGATAGAGGAACAGGGGCAGCTAAAGAAAAAGAAGGTTTGTGTGGAAGGGAACGTTGTATAATTGCTTGTGGGTGTGTTTGCGCACGAGGTCGGAGATGTTGGGAGTGGGGGGGCATCGAGGCTGCTGAGTGGGGGGCCATCGAGGCTGCTAATTGTTGGCCCCCATCCCACGCTTAGCCTTCTACGCTTCGCTGTGAAAGATTCTTATTTCTGCTTCACTTGGCCACCTAGTTGAGCACAGCACAAGAGCACCGTATGATGGGCCGGTATTATGAATCACATGCATCTGTCTTCATCTGCTCGAGAGGAGAAAGTGTGAGATCAGGTGCAGGCAGAATGAGGATCCACTGCTCTTGACGGCAAATGGTGCCTCACAGTGCAGTACTAATTTGTTTAAATGTTAAATCTCATGGAAAAATCACTTTCCCTGAAGAGTTTGTTTTCTTATGGTTCCTTCTTTTCTTTCCAGCTCATTTTAAGGATGGAATAGTGGACCTCGATGATTACTGTCAACATTCACTGACTGGCCCTTATATCACAGTCATGTGACTTCAGCTCAGAAATCATTGCAATGTCCTTGCAGAATTATTTATACACGCCTGGGGGACCTAATGCCCCCCCCCTTCCTACCCATTTTCAATGTGTCATATATGGACACAGACAATTACATTCTCCTTCCAACATGAAATGGGGCGGGGGGGCATTAAAATTCAGGAACAATCCGCCCCTATGCTTTCAGAGATACATCTCATGAGGGCTGATCCCCATATCAAGGATTTATACAGCATCTCAGTAAGTGAAACTTCTGAGCTACAAAATAATTGCTTTCCTGACCTCCAGAACAATTATTAGAGCAGTACAGTGAAAGCATGAGGATGAATACAAGAACAACACGAATACCTGAGAAATTTTTGAGGGCCACCATAGCTGCTCATGGTGATGAGAATGGCACTCACCATAGTGCAAAATACTCTATCACAGATCTTTATCCTATGTTCATTTCCTTATTTCTTGGATCGGACAACCTATTATAGCTCAGCACAGCAGAACTGTGTCCGAAGTAAATGATCCTGAGCCACACTGTGAGGAGTATGACTGTTTCTTCTGTCTGCAGAGCGATTCACTTGTCAGGTGGCAAGTTTGGATACTAGGCCGGGAGTATCCCAGTGGCACCAGCGTGATCTCTATGCCACTTAAGCATGCATGAGGGCCCTCACTACCACTCAGCAACAGAGAAAGGAAGCAGAGCCCCATCGTTGACCCCTCCCAAGGCGACACTCATTTTCGCATTTCTGCTTCCCAGTTGCTCTGAACCTGAATATGTTTCCTATGGTGCTAATATGTATATGAAAAGGACAGAATATGACATCACAGGTTTACAGGTTTGCCACCTTACTACATTGAGGGAGAGATCACAAAAATAAAAATCTTTTATATATAAAAGAAAAACAAGACTTACACACATATGAGTTACTAACAGCAGATGGCTCCAGAGATTTGTTCATTTATGTTTTTGATTTAGATGAAAAAAGCTAAAACTCTGCAGGTGCAATGTGCCTGTGTCACGTATCTCGGCGGACGAAGCGGCCAAAGTGCTTGGCTCCTTGTTTTGGCTCCGAACGACTGCGAGGTGCAAACACACACACGCACACACATACACGCAGACACACGCACACACATACACGCAGACGCACACACACACACACACGCACACACATACACGCAGACGCATACACACACACACACACACACACACACAGTTGAGGGTGAAGACCTGCCCAGCCCATTGTCTGTAACACCGTACCAGAACTTTAGAGAAGTAGCAGCCTACAGTATCATACTTTCCCGAATTGTATTATTTTCCCAATGTTTTATCACTATTTCATTTTTTTATTATTATTTTGTTTTTGTATTACTTGTTACATGATTTTTAATGGTAAAAATGCAAATGACTATATGTGTATGAAAACAGGAAATTTGCAAGGCAAATATTTCTCATATTTCGTATCTGGCAGTTTCTGATGTCATCCACTAACAGTCAGTATGGGTGTGGAGACGCACTGCGATGGGAGCAGATGGGTGCTGACACCTCCAGCGGAATGGGGAGGTCCGGGATTTCCCGTCGCGAACAAAACATGAAAAACAAATCCTTAAATTTTGCTGACCCCAGATACCTGTACTTTTCTATATTGTAGCGCTCCCGCTGTGCGCTTTTACTAGATGGGGAAAAAAAAGATATTGTTAAAAAATCCTGTGGCGCTGAGCTTGGATTTGGCCCGGAGAGTGGTAGGGGTGGCGGCGGGGAACGTCCCAGGCGCGTGCTGCACAGGCGCTGACAAGCAGAGTCTTCCGCTCAGGGTTCACTTTGAGGACTTGGAACGCCAAGTGTCACGGAAGAAAGGGGAACGCCGGCGACGTGGAGCTGGGAACCTGTTAAAATCCGGCATCCGATTCCATCTGTTGAGCAGCATCTCCATCTGAGAAGCTTTGTAATTAACCTGCTTATGCAGACAGCTTTTTTTGGCGGGGGGGAGGTTCAGATGTGATCCACCCTGGCCACCAGCAGCTGTGTTCAAGCAGGGGGTGGGGACTGAGGGGCAGCTTGAGGAACTCCCCATATTCCGGGCGCCTGGGATCACATGCTGTGCGATGTTCTCCGTCTTCAGCAAGCTTTGCCTGAGTTCTCCGTGTGGTGCCACCTGACGCTAAAAGCCTTATTCAGAGACTCAAATACTGTATGGTATTTTGCTATTTATTAATTAAGTAGTATTTCCCCTTTATATTGTTGGAATGTCACAAATGTTACATTTTAATCAATAACATTTCGGTGCAGGCTGAGGTAGGGCAACACCATCACCATAAAGCATTGACATAGCACCCTGGGTAAAATCAGCCATATTTCTACTTAGCCTGCCTTGTGGGTCAGAGTGGGCAAGAATGACACAAGCCTTAACCACAAAACTAATAGCTTGAAGAAACACACTAAGCAGTCATTTAAATGTGGGCTCTCTGTCACAAAGAAAATCTGCCCTTGGATTCAGGGTCAAGATTATTAAGAGTGCTATTTCCTTAGCTTTATAGTTACTTTCTTGTGTTCAAGATTCATTTTTTGTATGTTGATTTGCATATATATATATATATATATATATATATATATATATATATATATATATATATATACACACACACACACACACACACACACATATGCCTATGTACAGTATGTATGTGCGCGTGTGTGTGTGCGCATGAAAATAAGATAGGTATGTTAACATGTACACACACATATATGTCTTCAGGAATATGTGTCGGCACACATCGTTGACATCCCTACATGCATATCTTAAACAGTTTCGTTAATTCATATGTTAATATTTAACATGTATCTCATTGTGTTCAGGACTGGAGCAGTTTGTATGTCGGTTAACTGCGCATGAAAATTCTGCAGGATGCAAAACACCATATTCCGTGTTTACATACACATCGCTGCCAACAAAGATTCCACATCTTATGTATGTGCTATCAATGTACCGCTTCGATGATGACAGGGGAAAAAAAGCAGGAGCAGGAGTCGGCCGGTGATCCCGAGCGGCTGGCCCTCCTCTCGCCGGAATGAGGAGTTACAGTGCCTCCGAGTTCGCGCAGCAGCAGCGACTCTAATGGTGCCTTTCACCTCCCTGGCAGGTATCTGCTGTTAACTCTCTGAAGAGGAGCGCGTTTTCGCCGGCGAGTCCTCACTTCCCTGCTGGAAAAAAAGAATCAGCGCTAACTTGATTACGAAAAATATATATTAGTAAGAATTCAATTTTAAAACATACAAATGGCGTCAATTGGGGACTTCGATCCGCTAAACTCAAGCGTGCCTGCAACTAAGATTGAAGTTACCGTGTCATGCCGGTGAGTGTTATGCATAATTGGCTGTATATGAAAATAACCAGATAACTAAATTAATGGGGATATACTGATCTGTGTTTAACATCGAAGGAGCTGTTTTATTGCAGCGGAATGAACTAACCAGGTGATTGAAATAGAGTTATTGTAGCACAGCTGAGTGTCTGTACATATCACAGTTATACAAAGTATCGCGCTTCACTTCGGGTACGAGGCTATAAATATACCAAGCGTGGCTCTTTGAGGCTACTTTAATGCTTATTTTTGTGCTGGATTTATGTAAAATAATTTTCCATATATAGCAACTTATACATATCTAATTATTTTAAAATCATGAGTGGCTAATTGTACATGTCCGAACAATACGATAAATATGTAATACGTGGTAATATATTACCTACAAGAGGGAGGGGAAATGAGCGTTGCGTGATATTTCTTCTTAGTTTTTTTCTTGACAGTTTAGACAGATATGTTATATGTTAAGCATGCCTACTTTTATTCGTGGTAAAGAGCGAAATCGAGTACAGATCGTCTTCTGGGGACTGCTGTCGTTTGATTAGAAGTGAAAAGCGAGGCTTAAATTCCATTGATAGCATTTTCGGGGTAAACCAGCAGCCCGAGGTCCTCCGCTCGTCCTCGCTGTCACAGCCGATGCCGTCTAGCTTTCTATGGGTAACCTGTTTGTTTAGGTTGTGTCGTTTGTCAGCATGTGTGCAAGATGGAATCTCTGTCTCCTATTGTATAGTAAATTAATGTTTCAATTTATGGTGTCCTTGAACTGTTTTTTTTTCTTTCCAGTTACCCAACAATGACTTTACTTTTTATTCCCATTGTTGATATCGACCCCGAATAAAAGGCAACAAATGTTTCAGCTAAAATTAAGATTTTTCCTGCAATATGTTATGTGTAGTTTCCTGCATATTGAACTTCGCAGTGAGCTCTGAATGAATCATGTCGTGATTACAACCTAGCCAAAAATGAACTCCCTATTAATTGATATATTTATGATGGGCTCTGAGGGTAATTGATAACATTTTAGGATGTTGCAAAATGTTGCACAGTAAGTGAATGGACCACTCTTATGGGTGGCTGCAGGTTTCAGCAGCATTTCAGCTACAGTACTTTGCACTTATGATGCCAAGTTAAAGGATTTGGTATCCTAATGAACACAAGCTAAAAAGCAGAAATACCTGAGATTGAACAAAAAGTGGCCACCTTGCAATCTTTCAGGACTGTAAATGTTCACACCTGAACAACATAATACATATAATATATACATGGTGAAATATTCCTGACAGTTCCAGGAGTGACTAATATTGCATTGCCTATTTTAATACTGCCAGCAATTTTGAGAACAAATTAAGTAGATATAAACTCAAATAAATTTATCACAATTCTCTGAGAGCTGGTTTCCCAGGAGCTGTCATAAATCTTGGGTGATTATATTTGGTATTTATTTTCTGAGTGAGCATGAGATCCAGAAAGGTTAATTGAGAATCACTCTGCCACTAGTGACTCTGGAAAAAAAATGATCAGTTCCTGTGTATGACAATAACTTATCTGAGGTTAATTGTATGTTTGTTTTTTGTGCTGATTGGTATAATCAAGTTCTTGGTAATTTATTAATGAAAAGTAAACATAGCTTTAAGCAAATCCTATATATATATATATATATATATACACACATACACACAGATACACACACAGTCTATTGAGCTGTTTACTTGTGTTACATTATGTTGGGGGCAATCTCTGATGCCAGAGCAGGATAAAGAAGAGTTCACTGAAAGCTTTCTTGTTGACTTGTAATAGACTCCCTGCTGTGGTCCAAAACTGCAAATGGCAAGATTTCATCTTGATTTTTATCTCATGAATAGGACTTAACATTTTATTAAAACACTATTCATTTCACAGCTATGACTCGCTGAAGATTATGATTTTCTTGGTACTTAACGACGGGCTTTGAGATGCACAGGTCCAAGCACACAGGACCCGTCAATGCAGCGCATTGATTCACATTAAAGCACCGGGTGTCCTTGTTGTCACATTCTCTAGGCCGAGCTGGAAGATGCTTGCTGATTACAGTCACAGAGTGTTGACCTGTTGTGTTACCTGCCTCAACAGAGCTATTGATTGTTCTGCAGCATGCTTACATGTGCCATTTGGTAAAGGGAGGGCAATTCCTGCTCCCCGCATGACAGGAAATAGCCCTTCAGTTGGTTTGTGTAAACGTGTTCAAGCTTAGCCATCCCAGATTTGCTGAGATTTCAGAGCCTAGGAAAGAGATACTGAACCGTATCAGTGGACCAGAACATGGATGCAGCAGGAAAGAGGACAAAATCATTTACCAATTAATCACTGTGCAAACATATAATAATAAAAAGAAGAAGGAGAAGTACTTGGCACCTTTCATACACTCAAGGACACTTTACGATTCAACAAAGATACACATGACATCAAGAGAGTACAGGTTACATGCATGAAGATGAATAACATTCTTTGAAGAGATATGTTTTTAAACAGGAGATTGAAGTTTCATGAAATATTTTAATTCACAAAGATTGAGAGGAAGAACATTCCATTTTTTAGAGGCAGTTACAGTGAATGCCAACCATGGTGGATGTAATGCACATATAATATGCATATAATTACATTTGAATGTGCTGTGTACCTGTTAAAATGAATTATGTGGCATTTTGTCAGTGGCGGAAATTGCTCAGGTCTTCCCTGGGGGGCCGGGAAGGCCCGATTCGCCACTGGTTTGCACGGTGCCATGCCAAACACACTTGGCACAGGGGGGTTAATACAGCCGTCTTCCGAATGCAGCAGCCAAGGTCAGCTGGCACAGCTGTGGAGGGAAACAGTTTTCTGACAGAAGTGTGAATAAGTAAACCCTTCTGTCAAGGCAATTATGAAAACTGTAATAAACTGTAAATGTAATAACCTAATAAATTGTAGATGCTATTGACGGTATTACTAAGCAATACAGAATGAATACATTGTACATGAATGTGACGATACTTTGCAGATTAATAATTGTATAGACTAGAAAAGAATAAAATAAGTCTTTTCTGAAATGTCATTTCAGGTGCTGACCTTTTAAAATGATCCAAAAAATGTACAGTGCGGTCTTCCAGCAGCGGAAAGTTCTTTCTAAAATGGAGCTCCGTATGTGCAGGTGTATTTGGGTGTGCAAAAATGTTCAGCTATGCATGTGCTTCTTGTGCTCACTGTCATTGAAAAGCTCATGTATAAAACATATCGCCGTGGTGTCAGCTTAATGAGCTGAATGCTTATCGAGAGGCACCATGAAGGAAAGGTGGCTCGTCTGTTTGTTCTCTTCTGTTGGGAGTCACTGCCAGCCGCCAGCAGCAGTGGCACCTCTACAGTGGTTTCTTTCCACGTGGAATTTTTTTGTTTCTGGAGGGAAATAAGATCGCAATTACGAATGAAAAAGAATACCTAAATTCTGGAAGCTGGATGTGTTTGAAATCTGGCATACAGCGACCTACCTAACTCCCCAAGCACAGTAGTGCAAGCATTTCCCAATCCGGTCCTCAGGGACCTACAGACGGTCCACGTTTTTGCTCCCTCCCAGATCCCAGTAGGGGAGAAAAAAACATGAATTGTCAGGCAGGGAGCTTGGAAGAAGCAAAAACATGGACCGACTGTGCGTCCCCGAGGGCTGGATTTGGAAACACTGCTCTAGAGAGATGGTTGTACCTTCACTACCCAGCTGACAGATTGGGGTTAGGGTTATGGTTAGGGTTAGGAGTTAGCAGGACGTTGGTGTTGGGCGAGCAAGAGGAACACATGGATACAGACAGACACTCTAAGTAAGGATCAGAAAGAAACAACAAGGATGGTTCTGGGGAATAAGACTAAACTCTGATTAATAGAGCTTGTCTGCTGTCTTTGGCAATGAACTAATGGAAAATGTGGGGATAATGTGTTAATAACATTTAATTATCTCCTCCTGTTATTTGCTTGTAGCCCACCATGCCAGAGACACTAATGGTAAGCCCTTCCTCAGGGCAACTGTTGCATTTAAAGTCTTTCTTCTGATGTCACAGTCTTAACCCTGAACTTCTGGCACCCAAACAATTTCTAAAAATTATCTCAATAAGTCACCATGAGGCTGCTCCTTTTCATACCCCGAATATCTATCCTGCCATGTCAGAGCAGGAATTATTTTCAACCAAAAAAATTACGAAAACTATTAATTGGAACCTAGAGTTTATCCATTGTATTGGTTGTAGGATAAAAATCGGCTGTTATTCAGGTTCCATGAATGTGTCGGCGTTGGCGAGAAATCTGTGCTAAAGTGCCGATAATGAGAAAAGGATCCTGTCTTGCTGGAGAAAAAGCTGAGGAACGATGCTTCCTGCGTTATGAATTACTACTCTTAGCCTGGGATTACTAGTGCTATGATTTATTTAGAGGTGAGTACTAACTGAGTGTGTGTGTATGGTTACGTACGGCAAAGACCAAAGGAAACTCACAACGCCGTGAGTTTTATTTGCAGTAGTTATACAGAGCTGTTGTGAGAGATGGCTTTGGAAATACCAAAAGTCCACATTTACTTGTTTAGCAGATGCGTTTGTCCATGTGAGGAAAGCTCTGTGCTAGGAAACAGGGTCGGCAAGTGCTTGTGTAAAGGCCCAGTGATAAGAATACTACTCTGATGGCCGTGGGATTTGAACCTGTGTCTTTCCAGACAAGGACTTGGATATCAATCCCTCTAAGCCACAAAACTCTACAGCTTTCCTGCACCAAACTGAAACTAATGAGGGAAAAACACGGTACACTACACGTAACTCCCAGACTAGCTGAAAAACTGGCACCATGCGATACATACAACATCAAAGCTAGCAAAATCCTGGAAGGGCTAGACAAGTTTAGTTTTTAAAAATATGTGAAGCGTCTCACTTATCCCACAAGTCAAAATTATACAAAACCACAGAGGATCACAATGTACATCCCATCTGAACCTTGTAGCTCTTGCTGGTTTATAATGGCTCTTTACTGGGGATTAATAGCCTTGTCATTTGCAGTATGTGATGCTGGGAGCCATATTCAGAATTCCTAGCCTCATTGGAGAGTTGCTTTTTGTATGAAGAGTGTAAAACTTGATATGGTTGATTTTTAGCTTGTTTTCAAGTACAGTCAAACCTCAGATTGCGAGTGTTTTGCAAGACGAGTAAAATTTTAAATAAATTTTAACTTGATAAACGAGCAAGGTCTTACAATACAAGTATTACGTATACGCTTTGTATGCCTAGTGTCACGTGCTCAGATAGGTCTTCCCTCTCTCTCTTGCTGCAGGATTGTAGGTAATCGTCTCCCATGCTCGGTCCCAGTCGGCGTGCCTCACTCGTATAGTGAAAATGTAGTTGAAAAGCACCACCCAAATAAGGGTGTAGCAGTGTGAGCGATGAATCTGTTTAACGACAATGCAATGTCCACATTTTCGCGAAATCGAAAAGGAGGCAAAAGCGGCTGTCATTGGACAGGTTCCTTGTAAAAGTCACACAAAAACAAAAAGATTCCAGGGAGCCAACAGATAGCAGTGATTACGTTAGTTATAGTGGAAGTCGTCCTACAAAATAACCCTCCTCTTCTCCTCTCTCTCGTCTCCCTCACACCATCCACGATTCTTTTCAAAGGTAAAGTGCAGGTTAATTTTATTTTATGTATTTTTACTTTATATTTTGTATTAATAAATTTTTTATGAATATTTTTGGGTTGTGGAACGAATCATCTGAGTTTCCATTATTTCTAATGGGAAAATTCGCTTTGATATACGAGTGCTTTGGATTACAAGCACGTTTCCAGAACGAATTATGCTCGCAATCGGAGATTTTACTGTAATTGATATTAAGCTTTTTGATCTGTATTTTAAAACAAAATATTATTCTCTAGAGAGAATTAGAATTTGGGTTTGGCAGGTAATAATCATCATGAGGCAGAGCGCAGTGGAGAATATTCACCATGAAATGCTCATGCTTTAAATTTTCAACATGATTGTCCATTGTCTTTTTTCTTTAGGAGCCTACTGGATATGGACACCTTCTCCAAGTCGGATCCAGGTAGCTGAAACCGGCCTTTGTGAAGGGGACTTGAAAGACCCCAGACAGATAGTACCAAAGGAGGCTGCCTTGTCTAGCTGGTCAGCCTTGGCATGAGGCGAGAGACCCTTTGCTTTGTTTGGTTTGACCCTGAAGATACCTGGTTGCAGTGGACTATGGAATCCTAATAGTTCTTGTTGGAATTAGTATTAATAATAATGCAATTACAAACCAATGACAAGGTTCTGAAACAACAGAGTTTATAACATTGAATGTGGCACATTTGTCCATAATTATTTCAAATACTTCCAAAATTGCATGTATATCAAAATCCTGAGAATAAGCCTTGACTTATAACTGTTGATGTGGGTTGCTATGGTCACTAAGCATATGGACATTTTGATGGAGGACAGATGGAAGAATCCAGTTCTGATCAAGGTCCCATCGCTGAAATCAAAGTAAATTGAGCTTTACTTGATGAACACCTTGCTTTAAGGCACCATAATATGACATGGTTACTTCCACCTTCCATAACTTTGGTGAACCCGGAGGTTATCCCAGAGAGCACAGAGCAAAGGCAGGGGACATTCAGACACTATTAGCTATTTAAAGGCACCAAATTGCTTAGTCAATTGTTTGTGGCCTATTGGGGGAACCCCATACCACATGGGGAGAACATGCTAACTAAGCAACTGAATTGACAAGCCGGGAAGGGTTAGGCTATAGCGCTACCCATTGACTGGCTATGGCATCCAAATGGAGCCATGCTAAAGATATCCATCCATCCTCTAACCATTTACCCTAGTCAGGGTCTCCTGGAGCTTATCCCAGACTGCAGTATATCCATCCATCTCCTGTAACTGCTTGTCCTATTCAGGGTCATAGGGAGGGGGCAGAGTCTATGGACTCAAAGCAAGGAACAACCCAGGATGGGGTGCTAACCCATCACAGGGCAAACACACACACCAATTACACCTCTGGACATTTTGGCAACTCCAATCAGCCTCAACATGTTTTTGGAATGCAGAGGAGAGGGAGGCTGGAGTATCCAGAGGAAACCTCACAACAACACAAGAAGAACATGCAAACTCCACACACAGAACCCAGGTAGAGACTTGAGCCTAGATGTAGATTAACATCATACCCAGGATGAAACAATCACAGGTTAAGGACCTGCTCAAGGGCCCAATGGAGTAGAATCACTCTGGGCATTCATGGGATTTGAACCAGCAACCTTCCAGTTGCAGGCAGAGATCCCTAGTCTCAGAGCCACCACTCCACCCACAGGGTTCTAGGTGTCAATTATTTGGCCTCGATCCTGCTATAGTATCCCTAATGATTTAAGGCCAGAACTTTGACTTGGCAACACCAAAACTTTAATGCTGTTGTTTCTGACCTATTCAGTTGTATGCCTAAGCCTCCGGTCATAAGCAGATGATTGGATTGATGATTAGAAGAGTACAGAATCCATAGTTCCTTCAAAAACGGCAGGTCTTTTGGGTCCTGAGGCAGCAAAGCTTCCCGAAACTGTTATGCTACCACCCACATGTTTGATTGTAGGTATGATGTACAAAGAGCACAACTTTTGACTCCATCTCCATGTAACAGTACTTTATATAACATAACGATACTGATAAGAATCCTGGGGATTATCCAGATGTTCCTTTGCAAGTGCAAGACAAACACTGATATTATTTTTGGATAGCAGTTGTTTTCACCATGCTGGTGCCTTTTGGATCCCCTGAACTTAGTCAAGGTTGGAGGGGGCTGCAGTTCTTTGTATGTTCTACTGGGATCTTTTGTAACTCCTTTAATAACTTGTTGGTCTGCCCTTGGAGACATTTTGGCAGGCTGGCCTGTCTTAGAAAGATTCACCACTGTTCCCGATATTGTTCATTTAGAGATCTTTATTCAGTTATGCAGTGGAGTTCTTGATACTGTGGTGCAGTGGAATGCAAATGGCTTTGTGACCCTTTCCCAATTGATGTTTCAACAATTTGTTTCCTTAACTTTTCTGAAATTTCCATATATTCTTTGCGTAGTATTACTGCAGAGAGCTTGTGGTGAAGACTTCGCTATCATGGTAAGGGTCAGTATATAGTATGGTTTAGATGCCTCAAAGATTCTAATTATCAGTTAAATGTGGTCATCTGGTATTGTAAATTACTATACTATCATTTTTTCACATGGTCAGTATGTGTTTTGGATAGCTTCATTACTTACACACATTCGGTAATAATTTTAAATGGTGTTATCTGTTTGCTCTGTTTCACTTTATCAAATATTATATTAGGCTAAAGATCTGAAACCAATTGTTATGAAAAATGTGAAAATAATATATCAGGCAAAATCTTATTCACAACATTGTACTGTAAATTCTGACTAATTATCAACGTTGTTTGCATTAGCATTAGATCAGGTCAATGGAAATATAAATATATATTAGATTAATTTGGACTAATGACCTGTCAGTATACATAGATTAATCAGCTTATCTTAAAATGGAAGTGGTCCCCACAGATTTGTGAATACCAAAACAAATTTAGAGGAGTGATTTTACTGTAATCACATTCTGACATCACTCAGCCCCGGCACCCTGTATCCACCATTTATTTTCACGTGAATGATGCCTTAATGACAGATCAATAGGCTTGCTCCCGTGACCAGTGGTGGTCCCTTTAGAGTGCTCTGTAAGCCAAAGATAATTGTTTGTACCGAGCATCCTGGTACTCAAAAATTACACCTGTCACCTTGGTCTAAAAAAAAAAAAACCTTCATAGTGAAAATAGCTAAATCACTTCAGTGTTTGCTACAATTACTACACATCTGTCACACACACTGCAAGTCAAAAAATACCCAGTCTAACCCCATAGAAGTGCGTGCATTATAATTTAGATGAAGTTATTGATCTTAAAATGCCCTCAGTTTGTACCTCTACGGGGGGTTTCAGTTTCAGGGTTGGTACTTAAAGTCTTTTCCCATACTTGGCTGTGTAATAAAACCTCACAAGAAATTTCTATGTTTCTGGTTTTTTCCCCAATGTCTGGTGTGACCCAGAGGGGTAAATAAAAGTGTGACTAATGGAAGTCCTGGAGGTACAGTCCTGTATACATAATATAGGAAATGTGCAAATGTGTTTTATTGTATATAAGGTTTTATATAAGATTCCCTGAGTACTTGCACATTGAAATGACAGAGATTCCTTTTAAAAATGAGTCCCTGTCTCTTCTAAATCTTTTTTTTTTTCCTAAACAGATATAGTTACCTCCAATGACAGTATTAGCAGTTTTAAAATCTGCATCGTGATATGTCTTTGTGTGTTTATTTAAATGAATTTAAGTCATGGTCCCTTGCATTTGCACACCAACAGAGACATGTACAGGTATATGCACTCATTGCCCACTTTATGAGATCCATCATATGGAGCTCCATGTAGGATCCTCCTTTTATCCCTAGATCTGCACACCATGGTTGTGCTAAGCTGTCATTTTTGCTATTGGGCCCTTCCTGTTACAGTAGCTTTACTAAGTATAGCCATTGTCCTCTAGCACAATGTTTTCAGAAACACACCTGATATTTTTTTTTAATCACAGCATTCTTTGTAAACTCCAGATCGGTGTTTGCCAATCCGGTCCTCAGGGACCTACAGACAGTCCACGTTTTTGCTCCCCCCTCAGCTCCCTACCTGTGGACTGTCTGGCAGAGATTTCGGAGGGAGCAAAAACGTGGACCGGCTGTGAGTCCCCAAGGACCGGATTGAGAAACATTGCTCTAGATACTGCAGTCGATGAAAATCCCGAGACGGTGCCTTCTGAGCTGGTGGGACCACCACATCTGGCATTAACAATCATACCATGTACTGTATAAAATCACTTAGATTTGTCATTTTAGCCATTCTAATGCTTCTTAGCTGCAACATAATTAAACCTCTAGACCAGTGTTTCTCAACCCAGTCCTCAGCGAACCCCAGCCAGTCCACATTTTTGCTCCCTCCCAGCTCCCAGCGAACCTGTACCGGCTATTCGGTGTTCCTGATTGGCTGGGAGCTGGGAGGGAGCAAAAACGTGGACTGGCTGGGGTTCGCTGAGGACTGGGTTGAGAAACACTGCTCTAGACACTGTCTGCATGGTATAAATATTCAGTTACAGGCAAATGATGAACTGTTTTGAGGAGTAGGATGTTTGTGTTAATGAGTATTAGTAGTAGTACTTGTAATTAGTGGTTACTATGCAATATATAAAATTTATGTTAAATATATGATCTATCGGTGCCTTTCATAATACAGTATGAGCAACTATTACTACTCATATGCAATTATTGCAGTTTTTGTAATCCCTGGGTCCGATGCTACTGAGTATTTACAGGTTGGACTGTGCCTACATTCTTACAGAAACTAGCAGCGTTACCTCACACCTCTGCGACCCAGGTTTGAGTCTCCATCATGGCTCCGTGTGTCGTCATGGGGTTTTACTCAAGCTTCCTCAGTTTCCCCCCACAGTCCAAAAACATGCTGAGCTTAATTGGAGTCACCATATTTTCCTTAGGTGTGAATGTGCATGTGACTGGTGTGTCTGTGCCCTGTGATGGGTTGGTATCCCATCCTGGGTTATTCGCTGCTATACGATCGTGGCTTGCAAAATTGGGTCCAAATCTTCACAGTGTTACACTGGACAAATAGGTGTAGGAATTGGATAGATGGATGGATGGTTGGATGGATGGAGAAATCACGATATAGAAATAGGAAAAGTCAAATTTCGAACATGTCACAAAACAAAAGTTCTGTATTAATTGTGTTGTTAGAGTGATTAATAAAAATTTTAATTATAAAGGACTGGGATCCATCATGATTAATGACTACCTGGCAAAGTATATAATGGATCCATCAATTATTGCTGAAGGACTAACATTAGAACAAAGCAGTTTGTGTATATATGACGGCTCTGATTTCAAATCTAATCTGAACTGTTAAGCTTGTAAAATATATACCATGAAAATTACACAGTGTTATAAATTATGCTATT